GGGGGGGGGGGGGGGGGGGGTGTACTCATAGTCGTGCATGCCGTAGTCGTTAGACCATTGACCTCGCATCCCTACAAAGCCGGGACGGAGCATGCCGGGTTCTCACCGGACCAGGCTCTCACATCACCAAGCGCGAAGCACCGTGAGGTATTCGGCAAGTCGCATGAAGGATGAGCTGCATCCTGCTAAGGGTGTTCGGCATCTTGTGCTTACTTCCTTGCGTACGAATGACAGCTGCGTATGACACAATAACATAATTTATTTTCTGGTGCTTTCACTTCCAGAGACAGTTGTAAGCACTGTGTAGCTGCCTCGAGGGTGCTTGGCCAATTTAACACAACGTTGTGCGATCATCCCCCGTTGCCCGGAGTGAGGGTTCTCCACCCCGCACAACATGATCTACTCGACCACCATTATGGTTACCGCCAAAAACATAACCAGAGGTAAAAACAAAGAAACGGTAACCTGGTTGCCGAGTTTACGAAGTGAATTGGCTTGTTTTACAACGTCGTTGCCAAGCGACGAAAACCTAATCCCGATGGCAAACACCGGGGGGGGGGAGGGGGGGGAGGGGGGGGGATCCGTAGATTCGCAGAAGCCGGGGGGGAGGATCCGTAGACACGCAAAAGACGGGAGGGCCGGGGAAAGAGCTGCTGCTTGCTTGAGAAATGCATCGCAGCAGTGCAGTCTTTGTTGAAGATTTTATCAATCTGACCCTCCACACTCCTAGGGAATGGCGGTGCAGAGCAGAGCTCGACGAGCCAATTCCTTGCAGATCAAGAAGGGGGTGGAGTTGTGTTCGTTGGATGCGTGTCTACCTGACTGCCAGAGGTTGTTGTCTTAGCCTACCAGCATCTTGACTCGCTCGTTGTTGGACGTGGTTTGTTGATGGCTGCCTTTTAGAATTGATGTCGATCTGGCCTTCCCAGGCACCTCTGTACCTTTTTTCGTCCTTGTTTCTGGAGAACAGATGAGCTTCTTTCGTCATTTTCCGTAAACCCAAGGCATGGTACTGCGCAGAAAAACGAAACAGAAAACACTAACCTGAGCGTAAGTCCCACTAATCGACGGGGTGCTGGAAGAAACCGTAAAATTGAACAGAAGCATCGGTCGTTAGGTGTTGCCGAGCTGCGTGCTGCCCACTTGGCACACAGCGTATATTTTGTCTGAGCAGGGTGTTATTGATGGCGGAACTGCGGTGGTGCCGGTGAATAGATGAACGGAAAACGTACGCGGAGGCGGTGTACTTTCGTCCTCTGTCGAGCGCCCGCGATGGCGAACGGTCTACTGTTTCCCCAAGACGAGAGGAATCGCCCGGAATCAAAAGTAGTTTGGTGCGACGTACGCACGTGTTTCAGTGACATGTTGTTTTGGTGCTGGTGTGCACTTATTTGTTTCTGTTTTTTCCTGCAAACAACAGAAATGCAACAGCGTGAAATCTTTTTCTTAAACAACTCGCACTCCCTGCAAAAAAAAAATAATCCGGTGACCCCAGGTGACCGGTCAGCCCAGCGTCCTCTACTACGCGGACACGATCTTCGAGGACGTCGGCCTGGACAGCAGCGCTTCGGTCCTTGTCGCTGCCTTCAAGCTCGTCGCCACCCTCTGCGCCGTGTTCACGGTGGACAAGCACGGGAGGTGAGAGAGAGAGAGGGAGAGAGAGGGAGAGAGAGAGAGAGAGAGAGAGAGAGAGAGAGAGAGAGAGAGAGAGAGAGAGAGAGAGAGAGAGAGAGAGAGAGAGAGATAGAGAGAGACACACCTACTGCGGTAGCCACTCCGCAGGCGCAAGAGTCAGAGCAGCGACTGACTGCACACTCGAGATGCGGCGATTTTTATTTTTTGGGATGATTTTTGTTTTTCGTTCTGGGAGTGTTTCGAACGTTTGTGTGTTTTTTGCCGGGGGGGGACATTCGAGAGCCGGCATTGTTGTGGAAAATCGGATTTTCTTTTTGCTCTCACTTTTTCGAACAGATTTTGGGCGGGATTCACCGCTCGACAGAGGAATTACAAGAGTAGACAGATCTTGAGGCGAATTTTGGCTTGGGTAGTGGATTTTGTTTTTGGCGGGGGCCTGCCTGCTTGTTTTGGGGCTTAGAGATCGTGAAGTACGACTTCAACCATGGAAGGAACGTAGGGTGCCGTCAACACAGCAGCAGCCAACGTAGTCAGGACAAAGGCGAATGTTGTATTTACGTCGGGCGTTCCCGAGGCGCAAAAGGCAGTGATCGGCAATGGAGGAGTGCAGTTTCTGGCGTCGACTCGGGGGACGGATGGAACGTTGTAGTCCTTGAGGTTGGTTTGAGGTTGTTGCCAACAGTACGGGACGAACGGACAGAAGGGAGCCAAGAGCTGTGCGGGAATGCTGGCTGATTCTGCGCATAAGGGTCGTTGATCATCTGTTGGCTTCCTCCTGATGGCGGTTACATCGTTTCTTGGTTTCGTTGGTTTCCTGCCTTCCCAGTCAGAGGCTTCGAACCCTAGACTGATGGATGTTGTTTCTTTTTCGTCCGAGCAACCGGTTTTGTCGTTGTCTGTTGTCTGTCACCGCTCCCGCTACGGCTCTTGTGCTTTCGCAGGGTGAAGCTGCTCAACATCGGGTGCATGCTGATGCTGTTGGCCCTGATCGCCCTGACCATTGCCTTCATGTTCGACTACGTGAGCGAGGAAGACTGCAACGACTACACCACCGACAGCACGTGCTCCGCGTACTCCGACAAGTGTGAATGGTGAGACGCAAACGACAGTCGAAAGGCAGATCGACAGGTTGGCGAAAGGTATTGCTGGCCGCGTGCGCTGTACGAAACGCAGAAGGAGATCATATCAATGAGAATACGAAACAGGATTGTTTTGACTCTGAAGCTTGCCACGAGCGTATAGAATGTGTTGTATGTCACCAAGAGTCCACGGCCTACCGTGAGCCCTGAGGGCTTCACGAATTTCGATGTGACAGGCAGATTGGCAGGTAGACTTTTATGGGACAAGACAGATTGGCGATACAGACAAGAGAAACACACGGACAGATTTGACAAGCGAGACAGGCTTTGATAAGGCAAGACATTTCAGACTGGGTCGGACAAGATAAGAAAGATCGGCAGACAGAGAGACAGAAAGACAAGACGGAGAAAGGGAGATGTTTAGGTTTTTGGGGTCAACGGCATAGAAACTCAGGCCGAGCGGCGCTGCAGTGGAGGAACGTGAGTAATAACAAGCCCTGCCTGTTGCGGACCCCCCCGTCGTGTTCGTGAACACCCTAGAGATTTTTCCAGTATTGTCGAAATTGGGCGCGTGCATACCTCGAGCAGTAGCAGCCGAACGATTTCGGGGGCCCTTGGCTCGACGTAACGGTGTTTGTTGCGCTGGAAGTTGTGCTCGGTCGACGACCCAACAGGCTTGAGAAAAATGCGGAAAATGCGTCATTTAGTGCACAACCCCCGTGTACGTACCCTCTCGCTGGGTGGTTGGCGTGTGGCCACGGAAGGCGCCCCAGTCAGTTGGACCAGTACGAAAATTACGAGGGGGTACTGAGTGACGGCCGGAACGATGTTGAATGTAAAGACAACGACAACAACAACAACAACCCGTTCCCCTCCCCTCCCCTACTTTTACCTTTTTTTTTTTTTTGCCAAGGGATACGAGCTGCACGTGCGACAGCACCTCCTCCTCTTCCACTTCCTCGAGCAGCGGCTGCACCTGCTGCGGAGTAGCGGGTCTCGACACCCAGAAGGCGTGCATCCTCGCGGCGATGTTCGTGTATATTGGCGGTTACCAGGTGGGGGGTGGGGTGGGGGTGGGGGTGGGGAGGGGTGATTTCCTCTCGCTCACGGACGGCGCTAAACACATAGGGTGTGGTGTTGCCATTTGATTTTTTGTGGGTGGAAGGGGTTCTCGTGGGTCATTTTTGCCGGGTTCGTACTTTCGGAATGAAGAATTAGAACTATTATAGTGCTGGTGTTTAGTGGTGGCGTAGTCGTTGTTGCCATGGCGCAGGTTGCGCTGGTAGAGGTTAAAGTTTGTGAAGGTGGCGCAGCCGTTGGGACGGACTGGGTGTTTGATTTTTGTCATTTTTTCCCCGTGTGCGCGTTTTTCTTCCGTGTCGTCGTCCCCTGTGTTCCACCGAAGCTCGTCTGTCTGAGATGTCTCCGCCCTCTTGCTTCTTTCTCCTTAACCTCGAATGTGATGTTTATTTCTTGTTTTGTCTAATTTCTTTGCAGGTTGGGTTCGGGCCGGTGGTGTGGCTCATCATCTCGGAGATTTTCCCCTTGGATGTCAGGTAAAAGTCTACCAGTATAAAACTAACGTTGTTAACGCCAACGTTTTTGGCACTGTGACGATATCAGTTGTTGAGAAATCGAGATTTGAAAATCGGTCCAGGGTGTGTGTTATCTTGTGTCATTTACGGTGTTGTTTGAGATGTTCGTTTCCCTGTTCTCGTTGAGAAGCCCCAGAAAACATTCCAGGATCCGTTGGTGTTGATGATAGTTCAGCGCCCGGCCTGAAGTGTGCATACCAATATTGTTTTGATTCTACTAAATATTTGTTTTGTTGTGCTCGTGTGTGACCCTCGCCGGTGTGACGGGAGAGTTGTCTCGACCGACGTCTAGAAGAACGACGGAGATGGTACATGACAAAGAATACCGCCGGTTTTGTTGTTGCAACTAATAGTGTGGGAAAAAGACGGGTACACGAATATATATAGAGAGGATTCAGAAACAACAGCAACGGAATTCCTCTTCTTGTTTTGCGTCCAACCGATGAGATTCCTCCTCTTGTTTTGCGTCCAACCGCCGGGATTCCTCCTCTTGTTTTGCGTCCGACAAACGAGATCCCTCCTCTTATGCTGCGTCCAACCGACGAGATTCCTTTTCTGGTTTCCTCTGTTTGGGTTGGCATCCATTCGTTCGATGATTCATTCGACAGGGGCAAGGCCATCTCGGTGGCGGTGGTGGTCAACTTCGGGTTCAACCTGCTCGTGACCTTCATTTTCCCGACGATGCTGGAAGACCTCGGATCCTCGTGGACGTTCGCGATCTTCGCCGTCGCTGACGCCTACTCGCTGTACTTCATCAAGACCCGGGTGAGATATGCTGCTTGTTCATATCTACACGTACAGTCGTGTCTCCTACATAAGAGGGTACCCTCTAGGAGGGGACTCCGATAAAAGGGGGTCGGAATCGATTGCCATGGACTCGAGCCGCTGTAGAATAGTTGGGTACCCTCTTGTTCCGGTACAACAGGGAGCTCCGACAAAAGAGGGTCGTGGACCTTGGTCACAACACCCTCTTCTATCGGAGCCCCGACTGTGTGTGGATGCTATACCGAACGTTTAGGCGTGCATGCAGGGAGCGATGGTGCCGCCGTTCGTGGTGCTCTGGATGGAAATGCCAAGGCGGCGTCCTGTCCGTCGGCATTGTTGCGGAGGGAGGCTCACGGAGTCACCGTTACCGTTACCGTTGCTCTGGGTAGCACCTCCGCCCGTCATTATTTTTGCGATTGCTCAAAGAGACACCGCTTGGTACGCTCGTAAAGGGCAAAATACTCTTGTTGCTCGAAGAAACGATATACTACTACATGATGCGGTCAAAGTGAACGAAGCTCCTTCAACCCCCGCCCCCCCCGCCGATCGCAGGTGCCGGAGACGAAGGGGCTGTCCTTGGAGCAGATCGAAGCCCTGTTCCTGCGGAGAGGACAGCGGAACACGCGAGCGGCTCTTGCGTGACAGTCCCACGCGCGTTAGAACTGCTGGACGCTGCGCCGCCCTCGCCGCCACAGGGGGGGGGGGGGGTGCTGGTACCGCTGTATCACGAGCGGGAGGGGGGATGCGCGCAGAGAGCGTTTCGTGTGTAGGGGGCCAGGCTAGCATCAACGACAGCAGCGGGGAGAGGGCGAGGCGAGAGCCATGTCTGTTTCTTCTTTGGTATCACAACCTTGTGCTGGAGAGCTGGCTTAGCAGGCAGGTCCAAGTCGTTACATGTATACAGCCCGAGTTTCATGAATCACCAAAGCTCGCGTTCGTCAATGTCATCAACACCTTGTGCGACGAGCTCGGGCTTGTGGAGGGATGCCATCAATACGGTTTTGCTTTCGGGAGTTGCTGATCGTGTTTTTCGGACGGCCTGTCAAAGGTCACACGGTCGGTGTTTGTTGCGCTTTCGGGCTGGCAACAGGGCAGCTCAAAAGCAGAGCAGATTCACTTCGAGAATGCCTCGAGGGCCGGTACTGTACAACGACGGGTGCTATCACGAAGTGCGAGTTGCCCATTGGCAGAAGGTGGTGACGCGTATGCGAGAGGTGGGGGGGCGTCGTCCTCGGCTGTTTGTTTCTTCCCTTTTCCGCGGTAAGAGGGCGGAAGCCGTCACCAGGAGGGGCCAACGGGGGCAATATATTGTAGGGGGATGCGATAGATGGAAGAGCATTCGCTGTGTAGCTCTGTCCGTTGTTCCATGGTCCATCGGCGTAGTGGTGGGCTGTTCGACACTCGCCCCCCCCCGAGCTTCCGTAGTAGAGTGGCCGGCACCAGCTGGGGAAACTTGAGGAAAGGGAGGAGGTGGAGGACCGGGGCACGCGTGAGGGCTTGTTTCCGCCAGCTGAGCTATCCGCGTCCCAGGCGACGGTGGCGCCGTTCTCCATTCGTTGTGGTCCTTTTCACATTCTTTTGGCCGTCCTGTGTTTCAGTTTCAAGTGAGTATATGGCAGTATTTATGGCTCAACGTTGTGTTCGGTATTGGTGGCGGTGTGTTGTGATCTGGGTCTGTAGTTTTTTTTTTTGTGCAGTAAGATGCGTGATGTCCGTCTCGTTTTCTTGAGCTCATCGTTCGTCAAGAGATGCCGAGGGCTCTTGAGCAATCCAAGCGTTGCGCGGACACGGCTTTTGGCAGGTGCTGTTGGGACGCTACCTGGTTGTTGGTTCGATATTGGCGGGGTAACCGATCGTTGTTCGGAGCTCGCGCTACCCCCGCTGCTTGGGTGGATACTTCGGAAGGTACCCGCTACCCCCGCTGCTGGGGTGGATACTTCGAAAGGTACCCGAGACTCTGCTACAGTAGTACCTTCCAGGGTACCATGTTGGAAGAAGCACAGGTGTGCCGCGTGCGCTCCTGCTCTTCTTGCGCTCGCAATACCCACAGCCGTGTTTGAGTGACCAACGACGTGGCGAGAGATGTGGCCATGTTTTGAGTGGCTCACGACAGCAGTCAGATACCTTTGTACGCTAACGCTAACCCGCGGAAAAGAGGACGTCCTCAAGCACTTGATCCATGTCGAAACCCGCAAGTTTCACACCACCACCGCCACCACCAGCTAGCGGCACGCCTCCTCTGCCCTACTCAACACCGCACGCTGCTGCAGCCACCTCCTTGGCGCCCCTCTGGTGAGAAATCTTCAAGGGAAGCCCTCCCTCGACACCAATCTCAAAACGAAATTCGAGACGGTTTCGGTTTTACTGAAGGGTAATATTCTACCTACGGTTCGAAGTCTCCCCGGCGGTCTAGTGGTAATCTCGAAACCGCTAGTCGCAAGGGTCGTGAAATAGAATCCCCATGGGGTGAAAAGTTTTACAAAATTTGCGTGTGGAAGCGAAACAACGCTGAAAAAGCTCGCGTGAGTACCAAACTTTGACGTTAGCACCGTCGACGAGGGAAAGGAACGGCTAGACTCTTCTCGCAATCATAACAAAAATTCAGTACCACCGCAGGAGGAAGGTGGGGCACGAAAATATATGAAAAGAAGAAAAAGGTCCTGGTGTTTGCCCCTGCTGCGTGACCCTGGATGGTTGTAGTTGTACGAAAAAAATACTGGAAAAGTGTATGCATAGTACTCTGCAACGCTGAAAAGTGTAGTACACGTCTCACCACGACACATGGGGGGGCCGTTGCCGTAATAAATAGGACGAAAACACAACCAACACGGTTCGAGGTTCCAATGGATGCAAATAATAACCGCCAGTGAACATGTTCGAGCGAGTATGTAACGATAATGACGTTCGCTTGACTTATTCACCGCACACGACGCCATCATTATCACCGTTGACGATCCTTGCGTATTTGGCGGACGCCAGGAACCTGTTGAGGATATTCTCTTCCAGAATCTTCCGCATCTCGTTCTCCGCATCGAAAAATAAAGATACTCGCCTATCCTGAAAATCACACGAAATGGCGAAGAATCAGACCAAGGGCAGTCTTCAATCACAGATACATCTACAGTAGCACTCTAGCTCTCGTTCACAACTAGAAGGAATAGAGTAGCATCCGAAGTAGTCAATGTGTTCTGGTGTGGACCTACCTAGCTAGATGGATCGATGTAGATAAAATGGCCGAGCATCGATGAAGAACACCAATCAGCACCGACGAAAGTGAATCGTGAGTTATTCGTGTGAAGATATGGTAAAAAGCTGTGAAGGACACAGCCCGGGACGAACGATCGCGCAGACGGGGGGTCTTGACTGCGCAATTATTTCATCAGGGCGTCCGAGTAACCTAGTGAAGGTATCTTGACTCCAAATAAAAATGGGCATTTCATGCGCTGCCAATCACGGATACCCATGGACGTTTGGTGGTGGGCATTTCCAGGGGCTGCTCAATGGTGAACCTCTTCAACCGATGGGGTGCCCAAGGCGAGCGTACCCCGCCAATGGCGTAGGCAAGAATGGACTTGCCCACCATTGTTTTGTGAAAGTGCATGCGTGTAGAAATCTACGCAGGCAAACACGCAGAAATCGACGGTGGTGTGTGCACTTCCACTCGACAGGCAAGTCAGAAGCCGAGAGTCGAAAGGCGGTTGTAATTGTGTTTTCCCGGAGCGTGCTGACAACTCGTATGAGTGCAGAATTGACAAACAAACCGTCCCGAGCGGTTAGGTTAGGTTAGGGGTATGTAGGCCGTTCCTAAGGTGAGCACCCCATGGGATGCCCATGCCAGGCATTCGATGGGCGCTGAACCCACTGTGGGCATATTGTGGGACGCCCATAATGGGAGTATTGGGCATGTCTATCAATGAGTAGGCCCATGGGGCCGTCCACCGTGGTGGACAAGTTGCAGTGAATTATACCCTCACCATGGGCACATACCGGAACTGCCCCATAGCCTCATTTCCCATGGGTAGCCCGTGGAAAAGAATGCCCATCGGCATTTCGAGTTCCATGGAGCGCCTAAGGGCTGCTCGCTTGCTCATGGACAATTCGTGGTTTTCGATGGTCAGCCAAAGGAACACTCTACTTGTTCCGCCCAGGACGCAATCAAAAACGGCAATGCTATTTACGACACCGGTGTCGAAAATAATTTTTACGACGCCGCGCAAAAACACCTCAAAACCACTGTATTCCTAGGGCTGAGCGCAAGCCCTCGTTCGTCCCACAGTGACCGGTGGTTGCCGAGATATGGCCCAGAGTAATGTCAGGGCACCACCTCCGACGTGTTGTAACAAAGCGTATTTATCAGCGGCACACAAGCCGTCATTTGGCCGAAAACCAATACGTGGTTCCCGAGATACGCCCAAGAATGTGGGCGCAGCACCACCTCGTCGGTGTTCTAAATAAGACATGTTTACGAGTCGTAAATAAGACATGTTTACGACACCGCGCGAAGTGTTCCAAGAACACATGGCGATAGGTACAAAACCAAGCTTTCTGCGCTCCCAACGCCCACCAGCGGTCGCGTAAGTCGTTATTTGGCCGAAACCAACATGGGCTCCCGAGATACGCCCCAAGAATGTGGCCGCAGCACCACCTCGCCGGTGTCGTATGTACGACGCCGCACGAAACGTTCCGAAAACATCTCTACTAGGCACGAAACAACTGTATTGGCGCTGTGTTCCCAGGTCACCAGATGTCACCCGACCCGTCATTCGGCCGAAACCAACCGTCGTCAGTATGCCATATTTTTCGACACCGCGGGAAACTTTCCGAGAACACATCCAATGGGCATCAACCACCTTTCTTTTCTGTGTTCCCACGACGCACCAGCTATTACGCAAGCCGATATTCGGCCGAAACCAACACGTGGTTGCCACTATTCATGTAGACCAACATGTTGCTTTTCTCAAGACGGCCTTACGACGGCCGAGAACGAGGGTGCAGGTGGATGGGAGAAACAAAGGGAGAATGGAGAAGAAATGGGAGTAAAAAAAAAAGACGGTGGGGTTGGGAAGGGGGCCGAGGAAGGTTAAATGCAGACGGCGGGGGGCACATGTTCAAAAGAGGCGCCCAAGGGTGGTATTTCTGTAGGAGGTGGGTGCACGGGCCCCAAGGGGTCAGTCTCACTAGCCCACGGGGTTGGGGGAAGCGCGCAACCCTCATTGTCCACGAGTATAGTGTGGAAGGTTTCCACGAGCAAAGGGAAGGAGGACAGGGGATGGCAAGCCAAACATCCTTCGCCGAGTGCACCGGAGGGCATCAGCGACGGAAACGCCGCGGAGGAGCAATGTCAGCAAGAGTGTGCGGGTCGGAAACTGGTTCGGACCGTGCATAAGGTGGGGAGAAAGGCGTTGCGAGTTTCATGGACTGAAGGAGTGAAATTGATCAGGTTCGTTTGCATGTAGAGGTTTAAATATTTCACCGATATCGTACCATTAAACTTGGCTTGTCGTGTTGGTTTCGCAGGATTTTCACATCCCGTTATTCAAGAGTGTGGTACAACGAAAAATACTGAAATGGCAAAGTTTTCGCTTCAGATGCATATCGGTTCCCTCGACGAGGAAGCCTCTTCGAAGCTGAAAGTGCAACAT